GTAATGTAATTACTGTGTGTGTTTAAATGTTAATTGTTTAAAATGTATTTTTATCAGATTCAATCATTTATTTTTCACATTTTCCATGACAGCTTTGCTGAAGCAAATAAACGGGCTTTGTTAAAGTTTTAAAAAATCAATGAATTAAGTAATGTTGGCAATTTCTCAATGTATTGGAAGGAAAAGACAAATAAGCACACAATAATTAAAAGACATTTCTGTGTCAGGACAGCTGCTCATTATAAATACTGCTGCCCAATTATGGAAAAAAAAAATTTCATTGCAATATTTTTAAATAAATTTGTATCTCATTTCAAAACATTTTATTTTGTTTGAAGAGAGACTATGCAACTTTTGGGAGGAGAAATAAAACATTCTTCCTTTTTAAAAATGTAAAGATTAATTCAGCAAACTTTAGGTAAATGTAGCTGTGTAACAGTCAGTCTGCTGACTTTATAATAATAAAAACAATAATATTTGTAAAGCATTTTCAAGCATTAGCACAAAGTGCTTTCCAGATTAAAATATATACAGAACAAATCAATCAGAAACCCCGGAGTACCACCCATGAACATACAAAATTAAGAACAAGATAAAAGCGCAAAAATATTAATATGAAAAGAAAGAGTAAATTAATGACGCTATTTCAATAATAGTTTTCTATTTCAATTACCCTCATAGAACTCAAAGAGAAGATACGTTTATTACTTATCAAAAAAAACGTATGAAATTCTTGCAAACCTGCTATAATCACTATTCGGTCTCTATCAACTCATGAGGAAAAATTCCTGCTCTTTAGCTGCTACTCCACTATGTCCACCAGCTACTTCCTAACTTTGTCTGTCTGGTGTTTGGTGCCGAGCAGTTGTTGTACAGTGGGATTTTAGAGCCTTTTCACTGAAAACAGCTGCCTTCTGCATCTGACGACGACGACAACGTTAAAATGACGGTATACCGTAAAGTTGCGGGATGGAGAGCTAAACCATGACCCTGAACTCGCTATAAAGCTCTGTAAAGCTGACTCAGATGAAGTAGATTCCGATGATAGTTCCCTGTAGGTTCAAAACTATGAGCAACCCCTTTCATTGTTTTCACATCATCATTTGACACATTATTATAAAAACACCAATTATAGTAACTTTAAAGAAAACTGAGCCTGAAAAACTGAACCGAATGACATCTACAAGGATGTGCTTATAACAGCACTTACCAGAGATCATAAAATGTCAACACATCCAATTTAACAGCTAAGATAAAAACCTTTGTCACACAGTTTTTATGTCAACAGATATTTCTTACATAGAATGGTGATGCGTTTTTTCCTCCCACCAAGAGGGCGGCACTGCTTCCATTATATTCTTCTTTGGGCAGGTACTTTAATACATGACAGTCCTCCACCTAGAGAAACAAAACAAAGGATGGATGAACAATAAGTCATAGCCTGATTGCGGTTTTCACTGCGCGACCCGTTTCCTCCTAAACTACAACATAAACAAACATGCAATTAGATGAAAGCCCCTTGTGTGAAACATTTTAATATGGGGCCACCGGGTGACTCACAAAACCTGATAATCACTTTTTTGGTTAAAAACAAGAGGATAACATCACAGCAATACTCAATACATTGCAAAGACATCAGAAGAGGAAAGAAGAGGAGAATATGCCCCATAAAAGTCAAACTGTAACAATCAAATCTGTAGTGTATTAATATACTGCATTAAGAGAAAGTGACTTTTCATGGAGCACAGACTGTTCCTGTATTAGCTGAAAATAAATTAAAAGACTAAATGTGACTAAAGTGAATCAGCAGACGGAGATACAAGTTTCTATACTGCCTTAAATCTCATTAATTGTCCTACTTCTAACGTTGACATTTTATTGACACTGAAATAGAGATTGTTATGCAGTAAAGAGTAGAGTGAAAAAACACGGCCATGGTTTGCTTTCAATTTTCTTCACCGACAGACTCACCGATGAGATTAAAACGTGATGTGAATAAACCTAACATCAAATACCTCCTGCTTATACCTTGTTGTAAGGGAGGAGTAGCTTTCTGAGGAACGCTGAGGCATTTTGAATGCATGATCAAAGCCTGCAGGTGTTCAATATTTACTATTCTTTCCCCACACTCCACAGAACAATCCAATTTATCAGACTTCTTTTCTGACCTGCTGGTCATGCCATTATGGATGATGATCATAAACACACATTAGCATTCCTGAAGAATGCCTGTGGCTGTTTTGATACAAAGCTAAGGCAGAACAGAAAACAGGTGTGGGTGAATGTATGTGTGTGTTCGTGTATGGTACCTGTAACATGGTGACGACATGCCTTTCTCCTGTTTTCGTCCAGATAGGAGCCATCCCCAATTTCACTGCCACTAACCCAACTCTTCGACTGCCTGGGTAGAGGATCGGATGTAACGATGGTTAAAGTGCGAGACAACAAGGTAAGACTCATGGATGTAAACAACTGTCACAAATCATGACACCCACCCTCTGTCCACTCATGTCGCTGCCAGGGCTCGTCTTTGAGCGGGTTGAGCTTTTCAGCTGTTTGTGTTCTGTATTCCTCTGCCATGATCTTCCTCATGTACTCCTGGTTATCCTCTGTGAGGTGTTCTTCAAACCATGTTGTGCTCTTTACTGTCCTAATACAACCCATCAAATGGGCAGGACTGCAAATAAAAAGATAAGTGCTGTTATTTACCAGCAGGATTATCACTTATGTCCAGATTTAGACTGATAACGGCCAGACAAATACTTATAACTGTGTCCAATCAATAAAGTGACACGTGCAATATACACATACAGCTGCAGCAGACTACTTTGATTTCGATTTATTTCTTTGCAGAGACACTGCAGTGTCCTTACTGATGAGTAACAGGCACACATTCACACGGACAGTTTGAGCATTTTAAATGTCTAAATGTCATTGCTTAACGACGAGTCCAAGACAGAGATTCAAAAGAAATAGTTGCACTGGACTAAATGAACCTTAGTGGGTAACTTAAGTCTGCCCACGTCTGCTCATAAACACATGACTCATTTGTGAGTGGACTGCCTGGGACTGTGGAGTGGTTCATCAGTGCTGTCCTCAGTAACCTCTGAGTAAGTCTTCAACATTTTGTGTATATAACTAATAATAATATTATAATAAATAACTGGATAACTCGCAATGTCACCATGAAGCAGACGCGTTCAGCTAGCTCAACCGTTACTTTCAAAAGGGAAAAAATGCTAACATCGGCTAACTTATTGTAAAAAATAAGATAAAGAGAGAGAGACAGCAAGGACAATACTGAATTAAAGCACAAGCTGTAACCACATTTAGTCCCTTTAGCTGAGCTGAGCTGCACGCTTAAGTTAACTTCAGTTACATTAGCACAACTAGCCAGTTAGCATTAGCCACCTTTGAGCCGTTGCTCGGAGACGAAAGAGTCCCCTCCCGACAACCAACCGACAGCTCCACGCCGCCATTACGCTCCTCAGTACAAACACTTGGACTCGAGTATAAAAAGACGACACACAAACTCGAAGGACGTCGGGGTCTCAGGGGGTACGGACAACCATGCCTTCGTTTTCGCTCTGCTCTAAATGTCACCCTGGCTACTTCCGGTACGTGACCAAAACAGTTCCCGACGCAGCGCGGAGGCTCGTGCCAAAGGTTCCGCGCTGCCACCGTTATAATTGTTAGTAAACGTGTTAACGTGCTAACCTATTAAACCTAATAAACCGTATTATGCTTACACGGTTATATAAAACGTTATGTTGTTGACGGCTTGACTCATAACTCAACAAAAAGGGGATTTTAAAAGTTAATTCTTGACCTTGGAAACTGACAGGTTCACACTTTTACATCATATTTATATCATCATTTATATATTTACATGATCTTCATCAACAGATGCGTTTGCCCGGTTGTCATGGAAATGTTGATGTTTAAGTTCCCAATATCTATGAAGGACAGCACGATAAATGTAACGTTATTTTAATCGACAATTTTAAACAAGTCCTATTTATTTCTCAATTGACTGATGTCTCCTAAATAATAATATACTGTGTAACATATGAAGCTTTTCTTTCTAATTTTATCATGTTTATTATTGCCTCATTGTGTCATTTAATTCAATTAAACATTTATAGCAGAACAGAATTGAATAGAAGGTAGCCTACAGTATGATTTCCCCTCATTTTAAGTGCTGTCTCCCTGCCTATTTACTACCAGTCCTCTCAGTCTCTCTCAGTGAAACTCTACTGATGTGGGTGGTCTCAAAAAGAGATATCTGGAAGCTCATGTGTTGAATACTGATCTGACCGTCAGAGACTGAGGCACGTATTGGAGTTTACTCTCAGGACAGCCCAACTTTGGTTCGCCTTAATTAACTGTATGGAGATTAGTGAAATCATTTATTCTTGCATTTTAATGTCTGTCTGGGAAATGTAGAAAGAGTGAAAGAGAGATGTAGTTGGAGAAGGTGTCTATGAGCCCACAGCATCATTTGTGTGTGTTAAGGAAGTGTGTGAGGCAGTTTGAAGTATTGTGGAGTGCTGCTTCATTCAACAACAAGGCAGAGCTGTCCATGAGAGAGACAGAGATGTGTGATATCTAACCTGCATGTACAAATAGTCTGCATATTCAGTGGCAAACCGGGAGACAGAAGCTCACAAGGCAGAGAGAAAAATAAATCAACTAACAGGCTGCCACCTGCTCTGCCTTTGTTATTCTAGATCATACCTCCACACTGGATGCCTCAACACACACACACATACACACACACACACAAAGTTGTTTTCTTATTGCATAGGGAATTCCATTGTTTTATGCTAATTCCTCTGAGACTTAACCTTACATTGGCCATAATCAGTATGTCTAACCCTAATTATAACCCTAACATTTACCAAAAATCCATGATGACCCCCTCTTATGACAGTATGAACACAAATAATGTCCCCACAACATCATTTACACAAGAACACAAACATCAGCTCACACCAAAATGAGAAAACCAAAATGTCTTTATTATAATCAACATGCAGAATACAGAAAAAAAACAGTTTTCAGCTCACAGATGAGTGTCTACCACACACGCTTTGCTATCCTCCCAAAACTCTTTAATGTAAGAAGGTTATTAAGAAATTATTACAATTATTCTGTTGTTCATTTCCATTTAGCAAAATCTCCAACAAAAATCCGTAGAAAAGATCCCCAACCACCCAAGACAACCCTGAATGTCACTCAAATGACAGAGATACTTTATTTCATAACTAGCAAGCGGCTACTGGAGATTGGATATTAGCAGGAGCTGAATAATGCATGCATTTATGCAGTACACTAACAGGGACACTACCATTCCCATAAATAACATTTGCAATGCTAATTCTAAGCATTTCCGACTATGCAATCACATATTTTTTCTAACCACAGATCTTTTGGCCTATATACCTGCTAGTTATCTAAATAAGGTAGAAGTGTCATTTCTTTGGGTGGTCTATGGTCTGAGTCTGCATGCTGGTTCAGAAGACTGCTCTTATTTCTATAAACATCTTTCAGATATACAGTAGATAGTAATAATTTCCCAGGTGATGCCACTGTGGCCAAACATGCAATAGTCATCAATGGAGTAGTTCAAATTGTTTCACCAGAACAAGCTAATTCTCTGAGCTAGACTACCGTATGTAGTATGTAGTATCCTAATGTGTACATGTTTGTTTGTGTGTGTGCTTGTGCTTGTGCTTTTGCATGTGTATATGTATTATACAGTACATAAAGTATATATATATGATATATATATGTGTGTGTGTGTGTGTGTGTGTGTGTGTGTGTGTGTGTGTGTGTGTGTGTGTGTGTGTGTATTTGAGTGTATGTTTGCATGTATTCCATTGTCAGGGGCTGAAGGTCCTTGTGGACTCGTAGTCCGACATACACTTGGGTTTGATGCCTTTAGCGTTGTAATAATCCACCACCTGGTTAGGGACTTCTGCCAAAACACTCTTAGCCAGTGCGGCTGGGGAGGCCTGGAAACAAAGAGACAGTCCGAGAGAGAAGAGGAGGAAGAGAGGGGTCACAAAAACATACACATCACCAGCCATGCGTGATTCTAGGATGCTAGAATTTACTTTTTGGCCTGATGCTGTCAAAGGGCTAGACCAGTGAGACTGATGTGAACTGACAAGCTCATTTGACAGCCTCACAACATCCCTGCTTTCACCTTTTTGTCCTCTAGTTCCATAGCTTGGTTTCTATATATGTGCTAAAGGAGAAAAACGCAGCGGAGCTCTTAATTTCTCAAAAAAAAAACAATGCATGAAAGAAGACTCTCTCTTTATACTTTGCAAAAGTCGATGATCATGTACATTAACTCGTTAGTACAGTTTATGCTGTATAAGTTAATTATGCAAAGTAGTCCAGTTGTATTTGCTGTATATTGGAGTATATTATTTGAAAAACTCTAACTTCGGTGTATTAACAAAGGTTTGTGATAACTTAAGGTGGTTGATTTATGTTGGAAACCTCTATACTAAATTACAAATAAACAATATTTGAACACTTTTCTTGACACAGGAATCTTTTTCAGGCTATTGTAGCCAGGATGGATGAACGCTGTGAAACTGAGACCATTCCAGCCTTGTGGTTTATTCAGGTTTAAGTTAAAGATCAGTCATAAGTATCTCAGCCGAGTGATGATTATTATTTATTGTATTCTGATCTATTATGTCCTCTAGATTTTAGGGAAAGCTTAGATAGGATTTGGGGGTTTAAGAGTGGTTTGGTAGAAGGTTCAAAACTGGGATAGTTATTTTTGTAATTCTCCTGCTTGCTTTTTTGTGATACATAATAAAACACTAAAGTTAAATGTTTTATTCCCTCAAAGGACTTGAGGTGTGGCGATGAGTGTACTGAATAAATGGTAGACTGTTCCTCTTAAATGTAAAAGAGAGAAAACATTCCTACACACACACGCACACACACACACGTACAGGCCAGCCACTTGTCGGCAATATACACACATTCTCTCACACCGCACACACTTCCGAATCCTCAAAGTCAGAGAGTCTGTCGTACTCCGTCTCACATAATTCCCCGAGACAATGCATCATCAAAGTGCACCCACCCCAACCGTCCCCCCCTTCCTCTCATTTCCACCCTCCCTCCTGTTCTTCTCCTCGGCTCCTATCTACCTGTTATTCAGCCTGTCACACAGCAGCTCCGTCCTGCTAATCCCTTCTGAAAAGAAACGACAGAGCAGAAAATCACCTCTCCACCTCTGTCACACACTCCCTCGCTCCCTTTTGTCTTTAGCTCCGGTCTCCTGTTGACCCCCCTCCAACACCACCACCACCATCACCACCACGGGCGATGTCTCTCTCCCTCCTACTTCCTCTTCTGTTCCCCCAGATTTATTCTTCACCTCTCCTCTCTGACTCTCTTTCTCTGTATCTAAGTACTTTTGGATAAACTACATGTTTCAGCTCCTTCCTACATTCTCCCCCATCTCCT